GCTGTTTGGTTTGTATTTTTGAACTGGTTACTTGATCATATCTGTCATTTTGGTTGATGAGTGTCAACCCTATGAGTTCTGTTTGGTCAGGGTTATCATGCAATTGATTTGCTGTTTGTGAGCAATGTGTTTGGATGGCAATAATGGTGTTTAAAACAGCCATTGTATAACATATATTGACTCGAAAGCAAAATGGATCCACAAACTGTCTGGCATGTATTAGGTTTCCTTTGCGCAATATGTTGAACAGTTTGACCCTGATTCCCGGTTGTTTCAAATTGGCAAGTATAAGGCAGCCAATGCTCAGATCATAACTGGACACCAGCATGAATCCAAGTGTCAAATACAGCTTAAAAAGATTCCATTTTAAATGATTATGCAGCATCAAGATCTACACTATGCATGGCTTGATTAGCTACCCTTAAACCTGAATAGCTATCGTATTTTTGATTGCATTACCAATGTCATGGACACCATACTCTTGAACAATGTCAACATCCATGAATAATCATATATGCTGTATAACACTGGATTACTATCGACTGAAACAACTTTTATACTCTGTTGCTGTACACGTTGCTTATTGATATATTGCACATGCTGATCTACCAAGTGATTAGTTAATCCAGTATACTGACGACAAATGGAATCCAATACAGAATAATGGGCTGTTTCACAGTTAGCGACAATAGAGAGACAAGTGAGAAATTATCAGCAACCATCATCGTGTATCACATAGAGTACTTGGAAAAATTGATTCACCACCTTGTGTATGATCGGGTTTGGTTGATTTGGTGATGTTGTTTTTCCGTAAATATCGGCAGACTGCTGATTTGAATGGCGGAAATATGTATTGCTCGTGTTTTGTGTACCATGACAACGATCTGATGTGTTGACACAGCCAGTTTGTTGAACAATCTGCTACTTTTTTTAATCAAATATAAAACAACGTCCCTTGTTGATCCGACGGCAAGTGTTTGCTGAGCTTGGTGAACTCGTTGGACTCGCCGAGCCTGTGTCGACACAATTTTGAGTAATCCACATACAGGATCAGCATGTCAATCTAAAACAATCATACAGTTTTACAAATGGAAAGTCCATGTTGATATGATGCAACATCAGTCTGTTTGATGTTATCACAATGTTATCACAATTTATTGCAGTGTTATTGCAGTGTTATCAAAACACGATGGAATTTGGGTTGCTGGAGTATAAATACATATTTTTTGCAATCTCATTAGTTTTTAGCTGTAATTCAATGATAATAT